ATCCGCATTTCACTTGATGTGAAAGTCTGTTGGGCTTAATATCAAATGAAGTGCAAGACTGAGATTCTAAAATTCAGAATATACATTGGATCCGTGTGGCTTCAGCTCCAATTTGCAAGAAATGCAAGAAATAGAGGGATTAGAATCTAATCGTAATGTTGGCAGTGAATATAACTGCAACTTTGCGTGCATGAGAGTGGGTAAAATGTTCTTAAACATTTTAATAATATAATACACTAAGTTTCAATAAAATAATATAAGTTACATTTTTGTAATGAATAAAAGTAAGACTTCAATATCAAAAGCTGATTTAGGAATTGCTTCTTCCAATGGAGAAAATATAAGATTGTTTCCAAGACAGGTCTTGCAGGAAAATGCTTTCAGGATTTTATGGAGTCTTCTGTGAAGACAAGCTATTGATGGCATTAACTCTTTAGCTACAATATGAAAACAAAATGCATAAAATCTTCATTGCTCTTTAAATGACAGCCTACTCTTCTAAAACAGAAAATCCTTAGTCTTATGCTTATTATATTGTCTGCTGCAATGTTGTTTTGTGTGCTTTCTACCATTTTGTAACTTTTTTTGTAGAAGGTTGTTGAAACACTGTAGTAACACAGACCACTTTAGGGCTTGTTTTGACATCTTATGTTGAAGGGAACAAAGCTCAATACATAGAAGCATTTCATTTACTCTGGTGAGCCTTTGGGCAAGCTTTTTAATGACAAAGCAAAGCTTCTAGTTTACAGATGAAATTAAACTGTACGTTATACCTTTTAATGTCAGAGTAAACTGATGACCAAAAAAGGAGAAGAAAGAGAAAAGATGACTGTCAACAAGGGCCAAAGACATGATTTGAAAAGCACGGAACACTTGCCCTGGCTGCACTGTTAATCTGAAAGATATGTTGGAAATACTTAAGGCAGGTGACACCAATTCAGGTAGTCCGGGCATGTGCTCTTCAAACAGACAACGTGCTATGAAACACAACCTGGGAGCTTTCTAAGAAAGGTGACTGAAAAAGTCATGCGCCTCAGCTCAGCAGTTTCTGTGACATAACATTCCCAAATGGTTTATCTTGCACCTACATTGTGTAATTACAAGTAAATTTCCTCCAAACACAGTTTGATTGCAAAAGTAAAAAAATTAATAACATTCTAACATGTAAATCTTTATGCATTGCTGTGTATATATAGTTCTTGGACACATATCTGGAATCGTTATCAAAGTCTTCTCAAATACTTTTTAAATTTCTTGTTTATTGCTATGGTTCTATTTGAACAATAACCAAAAATAACAATTGGACGGGAAATCGCTAGAAAATTCTTTGTATTGCCATTCCTGTCATTCCTACATGTTTTTGTAAAAGATAACTAAGAGCATATAAACAAACAGGACAACAAAAATCTAAGCAGTTATCTTTACAATTATATAATGCCTATCAGGCAGTGAAATCAATGCCGATTATATTCTGGGAAGTTGGTAAATGCTATTAGATCCATTTTTGAAAGATGGATGTATTGATGTTCCTAGCTTTTGCCAGTCATAGCTGCCTTTGAGCTACAGTAGCTACAAGACACCTATACCACCCGATGAGTTATAGGAGTTAGATGAAAGCAAGGATAGGGTGCGCGACAACTTGTATTGTTTAGCTAAAATGATGTCTCGCAACTCAGTCTTGTCTCGAATATCTTCTGTAGTCTTTCCGCTACTATAGAGCACTAAGAAAAAGGGACACGAGCACTCAAATATCTTTAAGAATAATCTCTGAAAAAGAAGGATTTCTTGTGGTGGGGAGAGGATGCCTGTTCCGCAAGATTCAAAAAGAAGTAATTACCATAATTGCCTCCAAAAAATTGTTACTAGGTTCTTTACTGAAGGAGAGGATAGCATGACGTTTTCCTGTATTAAGCAAAGGCGGCTTCTTTTTATACTGTGAGCGAGCAATGCTTTTTATTTGTCTCCTGCACACAGAAGTGTTGCAACAGATTGGTAAAATCAAGCAAACTCATTCCAGTTGTAAAGCAGAAACCGCAATTAATTAATAAGAAGAGTACCTAAATTAAGGCAGTCAAAGGCTATAGAAAATCAGATGTCAGCCAACAACATGAGGTACTTATTTGTTCCAGCATTCAAGAATCCTATGAACAGTTATTACTGCAGCTGCCAGATCTCCTCTTTACGCTACGATTTGATTCATGAATAAGCCCAAGTCAACCCAAGCTCTCAGACTTCCAGCTCTAGACTCTCAGGGTTTGATTTAGCAGAAGGTGCTTGTGCTGTTCTGAACTTCTAAAAAATATCAGCGATTCCCAGTCAGTTTAATCTTCTGTCCAGTTGTGTCTGAATGCTCACTTAGAAGTTTTTTGTTGTACCACTTGGCTTCAATGACACACATTGTAAAACTCAGAATGTAAAGGTGCCAACTTACTACACTGTGCAACTTGTGCAGTTTTCCAATACAATGGATCATTTTTGCACTTTTCTTAAGGAAAAAGCAGCCCATATTCTGCTAACCTTACTTAGGTGAAGTAGTAATTACACACACAGTCCCACTAATATCAGCAAGACACTGTACACTGTAACGTGCCAATCGGTGAATGGTATTTTCAGCTGGATAGCTGTTAGGCATATGCAATTTAGTTGAGAGGATATATTAAAAACTGAAGAACTGTGTTAAAAAAGAATATAATTATTATATCTGTAGTGAATTTTGCTTTGATCTTCTTCCACGAACAAAAAGTAAACTGATGAGTCAAGTGAACATCTAAGTTACGCTTGAACTGTGCATAGCTGTCTCCCGTGTTGCTCTGGGAAGCTGGTATTACTACAAAATACCATATGTTTCCCCCTTTTATAGATCTTGGATGATCTCTATATGATTGCTACTTTGAAAGACAAAAAAGAAAGTATTTTTCTTTGTCAACATCTAATCTGTATGTTTATAGACAGATTTGTTCAAACTCTGCATGACGTATCAAAGCAGAAAAATTAAATGTTTCACTATTTTGTTTTTTAACATTCTTCTTATCATTTCCTCAACAGTTTGGGTCAAGTGACAAGTGACAGCAAAATAATGGAATAAAAGCCTCTCCTCAACATCCAAAGAATCTTTTCCAAAATGTGATTATTTCATTTCAGAGAAAATTGAGAGAAGATGGAATCACATTACCTGCTTTCCACAACTAGCCTTGTTTAGTCCCCCAAATACCCAGATACTCCTAAGTAATTCTTAACAGATGGTTCTTCTGGGAACGATTTTGCAATGGCCAACCACAACTCATTTCCACCGCTGCAGCATTACTCCAGGAAGGGCTGCTTTTAAACGGGCTGCTGAAACTGGAGGCAACTTGCCAAAGCCACCAAATAAGCTTTCCATCAGATAGCATCATGAAAGAACAGGTAATGCGACTTGCGGGCCAATTCTGCCAGGGACACAGAATTTGATGAAGAGCTTTATAACTGAATCCAATAAAAACCGATTCATTCGGTGCATGAAGAGCATGGCCTGTCATTTGTATGCAGGCCCAACTCTCGGGATAACAAAAGTGTTTTGTGGTGCTGATGATGGGCTACACGCTGTGCTTCAGATGCCATAAAAGCGCAGGCAGTAAGATAATTTGCCAGAGTGACGGCTCTCTGACAGCCTTACCTGGGTACAGCTGCTTTGTTGGGGCACTCAGCTGTGCAGTTTTTGAAACCCTGTAGGCGACATCCGATCCTTTCGAATCCCTTCTGTTTGTGCAAAATCCTGCTGTTCTTGATACTCCTTCTGGTGAATTGTGAAATTCTAATGCTTTTAGCACATCAACGGGTTCGGCTGACAAAGAAGAAAAAACAAACAACAAAAAAAATTACTCATCTTACATCTCTACAGTATGCAGCCTCTAAAAAGGATATTAATTTCATTGCAAAAGCGTATGCGCAATCATAGCAGTAGCTGCATCCTATTTTGATTTATTGCAGATTACTCCTACACCAGAATATTATTTTAACAGGATTATGCATTTTTAAATATCTGAAAGTTCATCCCATCCAATGTAGTTGTTATGATCAGGTTTTCAAACCACTTAACTACACACTGAAAAGCACTGTTTCCCAAGCGCGAGAATCTGGGTGATTGAAGCCTACAACACATTCTTTTAATGAGCGAGTTCCAAGAAGTGCAACTGATTTTAAAAGTTTGCACAAAAGTTTCAGAAGCATTCAGCTACTAATAATCTGCTATCAGAAACTCATCTGTTGCTAACATTAAAATATATTCTGATTACATATGACTGCTTTCTCAGAAACAAAGTGATAAGGAAGAAGCTAATCTTGTTTCTCATCCAGTTAGAGAAAGAAAAATGTACCTGCTTTGCCTGCAAGGAGTGAACGGACCGAATCGCAGACTTTCATTATTTCCAAGTTAAATTCAAATGGACTTCTTTTGTACTTTAGAGCCCAAGTACAATCAGGTTGCATTTATGCTCAGGTTCTAACAATTTAAAGTTGAAATCCAGAGCTGCTACTGAGCTGATATTGATACAAAATTATTAAAAAAAAAAAAAAAAAAAGCCAACAACAAAGCTTTAATCTATAGAAGTTCACCATGGCAAAAGGGCCAAGTACTGAATGGACAAGCACTTCAACAGAGGCAGTGAGAGAATATAGTTTGCCTACTGCGTATCTTTTCTCTTAGAAAAAATTAAGATGTTCATTCTCATACCCCCTACAGATCATGGCTTCACTAATTTATTTTTTTGAATGGAAACAGGATTTCAACAGGCCATTTTTTCACTGCGACTGTTCTGCAGTTTTTATGTTGGCAAACTCATAACCACTTCATGTTGAAAGACAAAGTTTTACATGACTTTCACTGTTAAAGCTGAGAAACGTGTTTAGTAAGTCCGACCCTTCTTCATGTCTTTGAACTGCACTGTGGCGTTCACTATAGCGAGTTTATTCTCTATTATTATTCATTTTATGTGTCAGCAAATACCAACTTAAGGCCCAAAATTCACTGTGCGTGAATATTCAACTATCTGAACAACTATTTGCAAACAAAAGTGAAAGAGTG